TGCAGAACTGCAGTCAGCTGAAGTAGTCTGCAGTGCTGCATTTAACCACTGCGCCACCTCGGCTCTTCATAGTTATATAGTTATAAATAACTATTAATATATTTTCTTTTCCTTAACTGTTAACTCTATTGATGCTTATGATTGGTTAGTAATCCCCTTTTCAAATATCCTACAAACAGCAGTATTTAAAGATGGGGCTGACTGAGAATTCTGAGTTTTTGGATTTCAGGGGAAGAAATGATGAATTGAAGACAGCTCCACTAAAAGTGGAGTCAAGAAGCACAGCAAAATAAAATGCCACCAAGTAAATCAACTCTTTGTAATTTCTTTCTAGACAAGGAAAGGCTTTGGAATTGCTGACAAGGGCTCACTACAGCTGTTCCTTGCAAGGACTTCACAAGACAGCAACCAGTGGGTTTAGAGATTTGGGAGAGAAGGGAATAGCCACCTTCTCAAACCATAGTTGCCAACTTTAAAACTGGGTTCTCATCTCTTTGCTAATCACTTTTAAAAATTACTTGTTAACTGCTCTTCAGTTATAAGGAACCACTGGATTGGCAAATCTGGAGAAAAAAAACAGGCAAGTTTCCTTTGATCCTTACCAAAATAAGTTTTAAATACAAGCTTAAGGACTTCATTTGTTTTAATAGATAGCAAAAGGCTAATTAAAATTTTGATTTTGGAAAGTTGCAAAGATTTCAAATAAGATTTTGGAATTCTCTATGGAAAAAACTTTCATTTTGATTTTTTTTTTTAAATTGACAGGCTGGGATGTTGAAAGTTGGACGCTACAGGGAACTAAAAGGAACTCAATATTACAATTAAAGCAGAAAACCACACATCCAACTTACAAGTAGAGGAGCGGAAAATTATTTTAATATTATACATACTGGAAGATATTTTTGAACAATGGACCCACACTTATTTTTAAGATTGTCTGCCTCTATAGATAAATCATCTTGCATTTCTCCAAACTGCAGTTCCTGAACCAGCATCACTGCATAATGACAATGTCAAACTAATATCAGTAATTTCTTCAAAAACTGTCCCAACCATTTTCAGCAAACTTGCCTACAAAGCTTTGCAAAAGAAAGCATCAATTAAGAGCAAAAGTCTTTGTGCAGCAGAATATGGTTGTTAAATCTAAGAGATGAGCTTCAAATACTAATGACTTTGATATTTTTCCATATTTTTGCCTTTCAGCTAACATATAGAGAACTCTTTTGTAAGTCACCAAAGGGGAAGATCTTTCAGCAAAACACATGGATTCCTGATCAAGAGCGCTAACTAATTGAAAGCAACATTTCTAAAGGATAGTTTCCTTAGTCAATCTTATAAGATGAAGTTCTATACATAATAAATTACACACTCTCTCCGATATAAATTATGGATATGATTCAGTGCAAAGATACTTTTCCACTTGTGATTTCAACATACTGTAGTTTTAAAAAAAATCATGATTTTTTTCAAAGTCAGTATCCTTGAGGGTTCTTCTTAAAAAATCCAATTCTTGATAACATACGTCAACTTCAGCTTGACCCAGATACAATGTCTTGCGTGACCCGGCAAATGTGCGCACGACAAAAGCGCGCCGACAAAACCGCGGCGAGAAAACCGCGATGTTGAAATCACGCCCACAACAGCGCACTGACAAAACCGCGCCCACAAAAGCACGATTAGGGTTAAGGTAAGGGTAAGGATTAGGTTAGGGCTATTACCTTGTTTTCGCGTTGTTTGTTGATGGCGTGCTTTTGTCGGCGCACTGTTGTGGGCGCGTTTTCAGCATCGTGGTTTTCTCGCCACGGTTTTGTCGGCACGCTTTTGTCGTGCGCGCATTTGTCGGTGAACCAATGTTTTGGGTCACTTTTGCTTTAATTCTTTTTTGATTTTTGGGGGGATAAATTATATATCTGTATCATATGACTAATGCATATTGATTTTCCTTTCTGCTTGAAGACTATGTGTAGAGTCATCTATCTTATGAGCATCAGTTTGTAAAATTTAATACTGTTTGTCCTAGATTCAGTCTGCCTTTCTGCAAAGGAAGATGCTGAGGTCTCTACAGAAAGTTTCACTGATACCTGCAATGGCTCTAATGCATATTTCGTTTATCACTACATGAACTCTGAACCATACAAGAGTTGAAAAACCACTTAAGTTTGAAATATTTTAAAAATAGTCAAATGAACAGTGAGCAAATATTACTTTTCATTTAAAGACATTTAACTTTTTCTCCTTAAAATATGATGTAAACCTTTAAAATAAAGGTAAATA